GTGTTCCTTTTCCAGCTTCATTTTCAGCTGTAACACGAAATTCATAAATATGATCTTCGACTAATGATGGTACTGTAAAATGTGTTGATTGACATATTGACTGGCATCCATTTATCAGTATTTCCTTCACGTTTTTCAATCCAATAACCACTTATAGGAACATCATCATCGGAAGTTAGTTTATCCCAATTAAGTGTGACAGTATTATTTGTCATTCCAGTGATATTTGGTTGTCCAGGTGAACCAGGTAGTTCTATTTAAAATTAAGAAAAAAAACAAATTTTTAGATAAAATAAAACTAATCATATTTAACATACTGAATGGAAGTTTAGCATTAGTTGGTGCTGTTGAAGATAATGGTTAACTAGTGCCATTTTCATTAATAGCCATAACACGGAAATCATATTCATGTTCATCAAGTAATGATGGAACAGTAAATGTTGTTTCATTACATGCTTGTGTAACTGGTATCCAAACATCGGCTCCTTTTGATGTATCACGTCGTTCAACAACATAACCAGTTACTTTACTACCACTATCATCTTTTGGTGGTTTCCATGAAAGTGTTGCACGATCTTTCGATACATTTGATATTTCAAGTGGACCAGTTGGAGGAAGTGGTGGTGCTATTGTAAAAAAACTTTAATGTCAAGTTTTATGATAGTTTTTACTCATACCAATGATTTTAACTTTCAAAGGAACATTGCATGATCCTGAATCATTAGCAACATTAATTGCATATGTACCAGCATCTTCTCGTTCAGTATCTAAATAAGATTAAATATAGAATTTAGAAAACGAAAAAAACAAATTTAATAGAATACAAAGCAGGTATTGTAACAACAATAAAATCATCAGATTCTAGAATACGTACACGATCATCATCAGCTGATGATTGATCATCTTTTTTAACTTTTGATGTTTCACCCAATGGAACACGTTGTTCTTCTGGTTCTCGTGTAAGTTTAGGTGGTGCTAAAAAAAGTGACAATACACAACATTAAATAGTAATGAATTCAAACTCTATCAAAACATACTTTTAACATGAAATCTTTGAGTTATTATCACTATCCCAAGCTTCATTCAATTTTAATGTAGATTTGGAGTCATTTGGTTTTGTAACAATACGGCAACGACCAGATGATGATAATTCGAAACCATTTAACTTCAGGTGCTGGATTAGCATCAAATTTAATTGTAAATGCTACTTCACCATTAAGAGATGTACTTGTATCTGTTAATTTTTTAACAAATCTTGGTGCTTGTCCATCTAAATATATCATATGTCAATATTTTAATTGAAAAGAAAAAGAAATATCATATTACTTGGATATTCAGTTATTTTAACTCGATCAGTTGTTGAACTTGGTTCACTTTCACCAGCTTTATTATTTTCTTTAACTCATTGATCAGTACCAACTGATCGTTTTTCAACAACATAACCAGTTATTTTTGAACCACCATCATTTGTTGGTGTTGTCCATGCTGATTCAACATAATTTTAACCAACTCTTTTCACTTCTGACATACCAGGTGATGAAGGTACAACTATAGACAAAAAAAACGAGCATATTTTTATTCTTAAATAAATTTGTTTACATACCACTATCAAGTTTAAGCATAAATGGTCGATCAGGTAGTTAAATAGTGTGATAAGATGAAGTGAAATGAAGGAGAAATCGGATGATTTATTCAGAAAAAACACGATTATATCTATATGTGAAATGAAT